CTTTGAAGGAGCAGACACGCTAGAAATCCTTCAAACTGAAATCCCTACATACAACAAAGGACTACAAATAGTTGGTAACTCCTACTGGCTTACAAAAGACTGGAAGAACAAGCAAAACAGCTCTATTGTTATTGCTTTTAAAACAGAAGCTGAAGCAAAGAAACTAGGAGCGAGGATCATTATCCTTGGAGAGAGCCTCCGTACTGAAAAGTACAGAAGTATTCCAGCTACTACCCAATGCGACAACTGCCAAGGCTTTGGCCATACAAAGCTTAAATGCCGGAACCAAACAGCATGCCAGCTATGTGCGGGGACCCACCCTACATCGCAGCATAAATGCTCCACCTGCACGACAAGTGGGAAGCCTTGTATCCATACACTCCCAAAATGCTCAAACTGCAAAGAACCTCACTTTGCTAATAGCAGAGACTGTGAAGTCCTCGCAGCTATAACAAACAAGGAGAACCAATATACAACAGAATGTTAGACAGCATTAAGATTCTCCAAGCGAATCTGAATAAGAGTATCCAGGCTACAGAGTCTACTCTTCAACTAGCTGTCGAACTAAGGGTTGATATAATTGCAGTCCAAGAGCCTTGGCTCACACCAACAAGAAACAACGACTACGCTGATACTAGGTCCACTAGCCACGCAGCATACCTCCAAATTCTCCCACAATCCGAACCAAAACTCCGCCCTAGAGTGCTATTCTATATCTCTAGAACGCTATTAGCAGAAACCCACCTACTAGAAGGTTTTACGTCAGATCCAGACGCTATAGCACTAGTAGTACAGAAAGGAAACCATAAGTTTAATATCTTCAACCTATACAACGAGAGAGGTATAGGAGATATAAAGACTATCCCAAGAGTTCTTCTAAACACAAACACAAGACTACCAGAGTCATCTATTCTACTCCTAGACGCAAATGAGCACCACCCGTGGTGGGACCCACTATGCACATCGACGAGCCCAGGAGCACCCCCATTTGTAGAATGGATAGAAAGCCAAAACCTTAGCCTTCTAAACACACCAGGAACGGGCACTTTCTTTAGGCCGCACCTATCAAGAGAATCAGTTTTAGACCTATCCCTAGTTACCCCAGACCTAGCTGACAAAGCTATTGACTGGCAAGTCACTACAGAGACTGGATCTGACCACTACGCAGGGCTCCCAATAGTGTCAATAGTGCGTATACTATTAGTATTTGGCTTATACGATATCATACCACACGGCTTGGTATCCATACCATACGATACTGATAATTCAATGCTTATACTGATACTAATAGTATATACTATTAGTATTCGCTATAAATAGAACAACCTAACTTGACCCCCTCCATGACTTGATACATTCCAGCATTTCAATCGAAGACGCCTTTAAAGATCCCCGGAAATCAGTGGTTGTTCGTCTTGCCCCGCTAAACACACGCTCAGGCTCGTCGGACATTCCCGGAATTGATAGAATATCAATAGCCATTGTTCCTAGGGCTGGATATTGACCTCGTTGTTGCACCCACCACGGCAAGGCATCGACAATATGTGGCAAAGTTGGGTCAGTAAGGTATCGGGAGTATTCATCGACGCAGTCCACGGGGGCTAATTTGGAATTAATCCAAGCCTGGTACGCATTCCTTGGAGTTGGTGTAATGGCCGTAGTGACCGTCTCGGTTGATACTCCTTTCGATTGGTAATGCTCTTGCCAGAACCCACGCAACTGCTGTTTTGCATCTTCTACCCACCCTGGAGTCCATATGCCCGTGAAGTACTCGAATTTCCACTTTGGATTGAGGACAATAGCGGCAATGTATACAGGACTTCGATCAGTAAGGTTGTAGTAGTGATTAAGCTTGGCCCAGCCCGTCTCGATACAAGCTACCATGATAGGATCGTTATCCTCAATTGCGGTGGTCTTGGCGTCTTCGAAGTGTTGTAGAAGAAAGTCCATCGAAGGAAGCACGTGTTCCAGGGTTGCTGTGCGGCCTTGCGTAGCCATCGTCGTATCCTTGAACGGTTGCAAGAAATCTCTTATCTTGGCCAGAACAGCCCACTCGGCATCGGTCAATCGATCATTGTAGAGGTCTTTCTCCGAGAAGCTAACTTTCTCGATAGCAAGGTGAAGCTCAGGCTTAAGGGACCAATCTAGCATCTCAAACCATGAGTTCCAACGTGTGTTGTTGTCACGTTTCGGAGCTTTGCCACCACTGTCTTTCTTGAAAGCCTGCATTCGCTGAGGACTGCGTTGGACCCAAACAACGATATTGTGCAATTTTCCAAGAGGACCCAATTGGCGCCATTGAGCAATGTCCTCGCGGGTAAGATCATCGCTATCTGAGAGATTTGGATGACGTCCAAACAGAAAGGCTCCTACGGCTAGCTGGATGATATGGCCGTTACACCGAAGCCTGTGATTAGTCGAATCCCATTCTATTCCTTCTTCTTGAAGTCGGCATTCGAGTGCTAATAACATGGCATCGTTGTTACTTGCATTGTCTATAGTGAAGTACCCCAGCTTGGTCAGGATCTGATATTCTGACAGAACATCCCAAAGGATCTTAGCCATATTTTCACCTGAATGAGAGCCTTCTATCTCTCGAAGAGCGATCGTGAGATTACGGAGAACCCCATCTTCATCAACGAAGTATGCTACGACGCCCATCAGACCGAGTCTGTTGCTTGACGTCCAGAGGTCACAAGTGATGTGAATGGGTGACAGAGCACTTTGAAGGCGCTGTTTAGTTTCCGATTTCAATTGCATATAACAGCCAAGCATGTCTTGACGTATTGTGGTATCGGATTCCGGTAAGAGATCGTTGGTAGCAGGGCTGATATACTGCAGAAAGGTTCGGAAAGCTCTTGATTTGCATAATGAAAAGGGAAGGCTGTCTGCCGCGAGCCAGTTGACAAAAAGCTCTCGAGTAATCAATAGGTCGATTTCTGATTCGGAAGCATTAGTGAGTCGCTGCGATCTAATGCGTTCGCCAACTTCTTTCATGCGTGCAATAGAAGCTTGTATGTCGTTATCGGCCCTCTTTCGTTTTGCATCTTTTAGCGGTAATATTTCGGTGAGTTGATGAATCCTGGAAAGATGGTCCATAATAATCCTCGTGCCGCCAGTAATGACATATTCTACTGTAGGCTTGCAGCGAGAACATCTCCACACGGCGGCTCCTTTATTATTGTAGATTTTATGTTGCCCTGGTGGTGGCTTTACTGCGTGTTGCCAGATCCACGATCGTTGCGGACGGGATTTTGTTGAATTGGTAGGTTCCGATGTGACTAGATTTTGCGATGTGGACAGTGGTTGGGAGTCATGTTCAGAGTTCAAAATATTAGCAACTTCGGTGAATTCGCTAATGCTAGACATAGTTAGGAAGGTACAGATAGCCTTGAGTCTGTTGTTGGGAAGAAAGAGACACGTGTCGCTAGATAGTTGTTTGGTCATAATTAATTTAGCGTGTTTCACACTGTTAGTACTAATAGTATACTAATAAGATTGCAACACTCACACCACACCATACGGATAGACGAATCTTTATACGGCTATAATGGTATAGTATACTATCAGTGTTACTATTAGTACACTAACAGTAGGCCGTACTATTGGGAGCC